TTTGATATTGATGTGATTGTTTGTAATGGTGATAGCAAGTAGGCAGTCCATTTTAATTCTGTCTTGATTTTTATTTTTATGGCAGTTAACTTGTTACCGCCAATTTTCCAATTCTAATTGTAATTTTGCTTGTTTTGCTTTAAATTTTGTTTTCTCCTCTCTCCATTGTACCTGCATTTCACATTTGTGATTTAATATTTATTTTTACATATTTATTATTAATTCTATCAGTTTACTCATTATTTGACTTTATTGATTTCAATATTCTAAAACTTCCCAGGACTGCTCCATTCACAGTAATTTGACCAGATTAGGTTCCTGGAGTGATTTATTAAATTGAAACTAAGCTGACATATTAAGACAGATAAAGACAAATGTCTTTATTTTTCAATTTGTTCACACCTGACCTTGTACAATAAAAGCCACTGAGTAATGTTGGAAGTTAGTACTGGAAAGACTGAATTATTTCTTCTCTTTAGTGTGCTGCTTTCAGACAAATCTGCCATCTTGCCATGCAGTTCAACATGTTTTCCATGTTTTCTTGCTGCAGTGTGAAATTCCAGAGCGTCTGTCTGACCTTCAGAGGTTCAACTAGGGAATTAGGCCAGTGAGCAGACAGACATTCATCAGACACTTTAGAGTCAACAGTTTGCTAATATTCCTTTTCTTCCATTGATGCATTTTGCTCACTTTCCTGATTCATGCCTCAAATTCTAGAGGTCATCCGGACAGTTTTGTTAGCCTCATACTGCATGGTTGGTGTCTAGTCATTGTCAAAACCAGACAGAATCTTGGGTTTTCCAAAGCAGCAGCAGCTTTTCAGTACCATTCAGGTTGGTGCATACCACAACTGTCACACATTCATTGTTTCACTTTCACCATTAATTGTTAAACATTAAAAAGAGGTCTGGTAAAAGGCAGTAAAACAGTTTGGCTTCATAAATGCTAAAAATTCTCTTGGTGCATACTTAATGAGAAGGAGTGAGAGCATTTTGCAGCCATTGCTGTAGACTTCCTCATCATTTTAGGCTTCAACACAGCACAACTCTCCTCCAATTTGTTTGTGCAGTCCCAAGACAAATCTCCACAATAGTGGTTAATGCAGTTACCAGTCCAGAACTTTGGCTTATCAAAGGCATTCTTTGAGATTCATAGAGATATACAGCACGAAAATAGACCCTTTATCGATGGTCCAACTCATCCATGCTGACCAGATATCCTAAATAAATCGAGTCCCATTTGCCAGCTTTGGCCCATATCCTTCTAAATCCTTCCTATTCATATACCCATCTAGAGATAATAGGAACTGCAGATGCTGGAGAATCTGAGATAACAAGGTGTAGAGCTGGATGAACACAGCAGGTCAAGCAGCATCAGAAGAGCAGGAAAGCTGACATTTCGGGCCTAGACAAATGTCAGCTTTCCTGCTCCTCTGATGCTGCTTGGCCTGCTGTGTTCATCCAGCTCTATACCTTGTTATCTCATATACCTATCCAAATGCCTTTTAAATGTTGTAATTGTACCAGCATCCACCACTTCCTCTGGCAGCTCATTCCATACATGCACTACCATCTGCATGAAAAAGTTGCCCCTTAGGCCCCTTTTGAATCTTTCCCCTCTCACCATAAACCTATGCCCTGTGATTTTGGACTTCCCCGACCCAGTGAAAAGACATTGTCTATTTACCCTATCCATGCTCCTAATGTTTTTCTAAATATCTATAAGGTCACCCCTCAGCCTCCGATGCTCCAGGGAAATTAGCCCTAGTCCATTCAGTGTCTCCCTATAGCTCAAACCCTCCAACCCTGGCAACATCCTTGTAAGTCTTTTCTGAACCCTTTCAAGTTTCACAACATCCTTCCTATAGCAAGGGGAGCAGAATTGCACACAGTATTCCAGTGGTGGCCTAACCAATGTCCTGTACAGCTGCAACATGACCTCCCACCTCATATACTCAATGCTCTCACCAATATAGGCAAGCACACCAAACACCTTCTTCACTATCCTGTCTACCTGGGTCGCCACTTTCAAAGAACTATGAACCTGCACTTCAAGCAACAGTCCCCAGGACTTTACCATTAAGTATATAAGTCCTGCCCTGACTTGCCACTCTAAAATGCAGCACCTCAAATTTATTCAAACTCCATCTGCCAATCCTGGGCCCATTAACCCATCTGATCAAGATCCCATTATACTCTTGAGGAAACATTCTTCGCTGTCCACTACACCTCCAATTTTAGCATCATCTGCAAATTTACTAACCATGCTTCCTAAATTCACATCCAAATCATTTTATTGGATTTCTTATTCTGCCAGCACAATCAAAGTTCAGTTTATCCACAATTCTGAGGGAGGGTCACTCGACCTGAAACGGTCACTCTGATTTCTCTCCACAGATGCTGCCAGGCCTTCTCAGCTTTTCCAGCAATTTCTGTTTTTGTTTCTGATTTACAGTAGAAACAGTTATCTTTTGTTTTCTATTCAGTTTATCCTAATTTGGCTTTATCGCAATTTCACTGTAGTATCAAATCACATTTGCTCTAAACGAGATAACATGTTAACAAAGCAGACAGTAGAGCACTTCTGAAATAAATTATCATTTCAACAACATCTTAGCACCACTCCAGATGCCCAAAGAAGGTGTGTGCATATTGCAGCCAAACAAGTCAAGTATCAATTTGCAAATCCTTCCAATACACACCCATTGCAAGCAGTAAAATAGAAGAGATTTCTGATCAGTCTTGGAACAGAAAGAATCAGAGCCTTGACGATCAATTCTCTAGCTCCTGCTTAGAACAGACACATAAAAGTGCATGTTATCACAGCACTAGCAATCTTTAAGTGCTGGCCAGCTCAGTTGGTTGGTTGGATAGCCACTGTTCATCAGACTGATTCTAATTGCAGAGTTTGATTCCTGTTCTGGCTGGGGTGGAGTTTCCACCTACCTCTTTTCCATACCTATGGTGAAGGTCATGACACAGTGGATCAGACTTGCCGTTGGCCTTTAAACTTGAGAGAATAGATTAAATGTTTTAAGCAATGTGTTTCTATACTTTGTATTGATCAGTTTGACTCAAAATAAATCTATGGCCTTCTCACAGAAAGATTACATTATATCAACCATAGACAGTGTTGGAGAAACTCAGGAGCTCTGGCAGCAGGTGTAGAGACAGAAACAGAGTTAACGTTTGCTTTGTGAAAACTGTTCTCTCAACAGATGCTGGCAGATCTGCCGAGTTCCTCCAGCACTTTCTGCTTTTGTTTCAGATTTCCAGAATCCGCAGTTCTTTGTTTTATTACATTATATCAAGTCCAACTACCCGAACCTCATCTCTGACTGACTTGCTTTGGTCAATAATTGATACTTTTCAAATGTAACAGACTAAAGTAAACTAATTAAAGCCTAATATATAAAGCCCGAGACATATAATGGTAAATCCTAATTTAATCCATAGATGTGATATATGGGTGTGGAAAGAAAATCTATCTTATTCTATGAATTTAGGCTACATGCTGGAAATTGTAAGTGAATCACTTCTGTTACTTGGGGCTATTGGATGAGATCAATAATCATCAATTCTTCAGAAAAACAGTTGCTTATGTGGTCTTTTGTCAAAATATTAGTATAAGTTACCGCTCTAAGCAAAGAGGAGAAAAACTTGACAGCTAATCTTAACCAGGGATTTGATTTCTCGTAAAAGCTCTGAGATGAAAGATTTCATCTCTGTTTAGAACATTAAGGTTGGTTTTCAGTTGGCAATATTATAATTATTCTTTCTGTGGGCATCCAACGCTTCAGTACATCATTGACAGTTATATGGGAAAATATCTGTAGATACCAACAGTACGTTTGTATGGATTCATTCTGAGGTCACTTTCTCCATTTTTCACCTTGCAGGTAATAACATATCATGTATCAGCCTTAACCACACTGACAAGTCATCTCCTATGAGGCTTCTGCTAACAGCTCTCTGAAACTAATTACTTAGAAGTGTCCCATGATTGTTCAGTATGACACTTTCTTCAGTTATGAGTCTGCTCTTGTGGAAATCCCCAGTACATCTCTTCACCATAAATTGGAATAATAGCAAAAGACTAATGAGGTTAATTTAAACTGCATTTTGCTCATACTGCAAACATTATCTAGGAATCAGTAAGATATTTTACACCAACCTGATTTTCAAGCAAATTATAAATCTGTTTTGGTTAATTTTTAGTGTGTTTAGCACTGCTGGCAAAGATCAACTTCACTGTCAAAACCTGCAAGTAATATGAAAGAGACATAGCAACTGCAACTGCTTCCTCATAGATGTAGTGAATCAGAAAGCTGTCTTAGGCCTGCGCAATAACTTTCTGCAAGACCTACAAAGGATGTTTGCAGTCTCTATATGCTTTTCTAATTCACTGATTCAGTGGGAGTTGCTGGTAAAGATCAGCATTTATTGCCCATCCCAAAACATCCTTTAGAAGGTGGTAGTGAACTGCTTCCTTGAACTATTGTAGTTCATGGGGGAGAGGATGTTAAGAAAGCTTCTACAAAGATAGTTCCATGATCTGGAACCAATCATATTGAACAAATGGTGATAAAATTCTAAGCCCAAACAAGTATGGCTTGGAGGGATCTCACAAGTGGCAGTGCTCCTGTGGATCTGCTGTCATGGTACATCTGGGTAGAAGAGATTGCAGATTTGGAAGTCGTTCTCAAAGAAGACTTCGGGAGTTGCTACAGTACATTTTTGCAAAGTTTTTATCCTTTCAGGTAAAAAGAATTGGACCAGGATAGGGTAAGTCCTATGGACTAAAAGTTTAAAATACAAAGCACATTTCATTAGATTTGTAGATGAGAATTTTTTTTTAAACTTAATCATGGTTAAAGACAAAGTACACAATGTGAATAACATCAACAAATTAAAACGGCCACAAAATGCAACAATGGCTATAATATTACATAATCCAGTAACTGAAGTTTAACTTCCACCTTTAATTCCGCATTCAAAGTATTACTCACAGTCTTCAATGTCAGACAATGGTATTCCATTACAGGGACTAGATTCCAATACAGTGCTGCGGGTTGTCATCCTGGTTAAACTTGCAGAATACCATCCAGGTTTGGAACTTTGGAACTTTCGGCTACACATCACCTCTTTAAACATCTCTCTGAATCGAGTAGACATAAGGTTGTATAGAATAGGATTGATTGCTGAGCTAAAGTAGAAGAATACACCCGAGACAATATGTACGTACTGATACAACCTGTGCAATTCTTCAGTCCAGTTGTTTATCAGAATCCACATTAACCGATCTGTGTGAAAAGGTGCCCAGCAGATTCCAAACACAATCACCAGAACAACTGAAAAGGACAAATTTAATCATCAGTGCAAAAGTTAAAAATGGAATAATTTGCAGAGCTGCAATCATTCAAACTAACAAAAATTAAAATGTTTCAAAAGCTAAAAGTAACAAAATAACATTGAAATTCACTGAAACTAGGGCTGAATGAGCCAAGAGGCAACCACTTGCAGAACTGTTAAAGTGACAACTACATGCTTTCATTTAAAATGCTGCAAACATTTGGGAGATATTTCTCTAGGGTTAACAACAGTTGTTAGAGGATCTAAGGATTTTCACGTGATTATACATACTGTTTGGTTGTAGGACTTTTAGAAAGTGTGTTTTTATCTGAGGATCTTTCTTAAAATTTCATTGACTGGGAAAAGAGAGTTACTTGTAGAAGCCACAAATATAACTATATATTGTGTTTCCAGCCAGATAGCCAGAAATATGTGCATTCATAAGAATCCATACGCAAATGGAAGTCTAGAATACAAAAAGAGGGAAATGTGCTTCAGATACACAACAATCTGACATAACTCAGCTAAGTATTGCATTCAGTTCTGGACATTGATCCTCAATAAGGATACAATGGACTTAGAGGCCATGTAGATTAATCAGAATAATTTGGGGCTAAATGGATACCATAATGAGAACAAGTTGCACAGTTTAGATTTTAATCCTTTTAAGCATGGAAAGTTAAGGGTGCTTTAATTAAGGCGTTTAAAATGATTACAGGATTTGATAGATTAGGTGAAAACTATTTCTTCTGGTAGAGAAGTTCAGTACAAAGGAGGATTTATGTTAGGTAAAGGTCTAAAAGCTCATGAACCAAGACAGTAGATGGAGTTATCATTCAGTTCAGTTCTGAACTAACAGAAAGGTAGAAGAGGCTGAGGGGTTGAATGGCCTATTTGTGTTCCTTCATAGAGAGTATAGACCCAGGAAAATATAAATTTGCTCTTTGAGAAGAGCAGTCACTTCCCAGACAAGCTGTCAGAAAGTTGTATTGCCTCCTGCAAACACTCTGGTACAACATTTTCTGTGGCAATCAAAGTTCACTGCACAATGCAGTCTGAACTTCTTGCCTCTGGCTCCTTCCCAATCACAACAGGAAATAAGAGTAGCAATAATCAGTCAGCATTTTCTGCTTGCATTCATAGTTATAGCTATGTTTCCTAAGGCAAACACTTCCATTTCTTTACCCATGAATTTCTAGTTTTCAAACTCAGTATCAGAATAGGCATCACAGCTGTTGCATGGTATAAAGATTTTAAAATAATTTCTTTGAATATTAACATGCAAAATAGCCTTGTTGACTCATTAACCTCTGTATTAAAATAAGATAGAGTGCTTCCATTAAGATAGCAGACAAAGGAATTTAATTTGCTATCTTTTATATTCGGACTTGAATACCTCATGGGTTTTGTATCCAATAGAGAAATTTACCCAATGTGGCAATGTTTACATTATCCATCATCACAAGAAACTGGGCATGGATATCATGGGGTTGAAGAATCCGTTGGATATTTATTACAGTTCACTATTATATATGCAAATAATACATTCACAGACACATCAGTGACTATGCTCACATTAAGCGATTAAATTGTATGGAACAGCAGGCTTCTTATAGCATGCCATGCTTCAAGTGATCTGCAGTAGGTTCAAATATGCAACCTTTACACCCTCAGGCCACATGCCAGGATACAGTGCCATCAGCATGTTTCCTAAAGGTACATTGAGATACTGTATCTCTTAAATATGTATCTCCCCTTGCAGGGAGATTTGCTAGTGTTACTCAGGAGGGTTTAAACTAGTTTGGCAGAGGGATGGGACTCTGAATAGGAGACGGGCCATCAAGAAGTCAGGGGAAAATACATTAGCCATTGAGAGCAAGTTTACTATTCAAGATAGCCAGGGGCACAGTAAAGGGAGGGAATAGACTTCTGGTTTAAAGTGTGTTTCTTTCAACACACAAGGCCTGACTGGTAAGGCAGATGAGCTCAGAGCATGGATTGGCTCTGGGGACTGGGATATTATAGCCATAACAGAAACATGGCTGAGAGAAGAGCAGAACTGGCAGCTCAGTGTTCCAGGATACAGAAGCTACAGGCATGACAGAAGTACAGGTAAGCGAGAAGGGGACGTTGACCTTTGGATAAGGGAGGACATAACAACAGTGCTTAGAGAAGATATTCTTAAGGGGTCATCAAATGAGGCCAAATGGTTAGAACTTAGAAACAAAAAGGGGATAACCACTCTGTTGGGATTGTATTATAAACCCACAAATATCCAGCGGGTAACAGAGGAGCAGATGTGTAGAGAGATTGCAGACACCTGCAATAATAACAGAGTGGTATTGGTTAGAGTGTAAAAGATCCAGATGGGTTGGAATTTGTGAAATGTGTCCAAGAAAGTTTCTTAAATCAATATGCAGAGGGCCCTACTCGGGAGGGTGCAACACTCGGCCTCCTCTTAGGAAATGAGGTTGGGGAAGTGACTGAAGTGTCAGTCGGAGAGCACTTTGGGTCCAGTGACCATAACTCTCTTAGTTTTAACATAGTTATGGAGAAACATAGGACAGATTCGCAGGTTAAGGTGCTGAAGTGGAGCAGGGCCAATTTTGGGCCATTAGGCAGGATCTAACAGCGGTCGATTGGGTGAGTCTGTTTGAAGGAAAAGGAATGACTGGTAAATGGGAGGCTTTTTAAAAGTGTGATATCAAGAATCTAGGGACAGTATGTCCCTGTAAGGGTGAAAGGAAAAGCTGACTTAGGGATCCCTGAATGATGAAGGATATTGAGGTTCTGGTCAGGAAAAAGAAGGCATCATTGGGTTTAAGCTATTAGGCTCAAGTGAATTCCTAGATGACTATAAAAAAGTGTAGTAGCACACTTAAGAAGGAAATTAGAAGAGCAAAAAGAGGGTATGAGATGGATGTGGCAAATAAGGTTAAAGATAATCCCAAGAAGTTCTATAGCTATATTAAGAGTAAGAGGGTGGCTAGGGAGAGAATAGGTCCACTTAAAGATCAGCATGACCGTCGATGTCTGGAGCCACAGGAGATGGGGGAGATTTTCAATGAATATTTATCCTCAGAGAATTATGAATGCTAAGGAAATAAGGGAAACAAGTCGTGATATTTTGGACCATATACATATTACCAGAGAGAAGATGTTTGCAGCCTTAAAGTGCATTGAGATGGATAAATCCTCTGGGCCTGATCAATTCCGTCCTTGGATGTTGTGGGAGGCTGAGGAAGAAATTGCAGAGGCCCTTGCAGAGACTTGTGCTTCATTTTTAGCCACTGGTGAAGTTCCGGAAGATTGGAGGGTGGCTAATGTTTTTCCATTGTTTAAAATAGGTAGCAAAGACAAGCCAGGGAAATGCAGGCCGGTAAGCCTGACATCAGTGGTAGGCAAGTTATTGTAGAGGATACTGAGGGACAGAATCAAACAACATTTGGATCATCAAGGTCTGATTAGGGATAGTCAGCATGGATTTGTGTGCAGGAAGTCAGGTATGACAAATCCTTTAGAGTTTTTCAAAGAGGTAACCAAGAGGATAAATGAGGGTAAGGAGTGGATGTTGTAAGGCCTTTGACAAGGTCCCGCACAGCAGGCTAGTCATGAAGGTTAGGATGCATGGGATCCAAGGAGATCTGGCTAATTGGATTCAGAGTTGGCTCGATGAAATGAAGCAGAGGGTGATGGTTGAAGGTTGTTTCTCAGATTGGATGCCTGTGACTAGTGGTATGCCACAGGGGTCAGTACTGGGACCTTTGTTATTTGTTATTTACATAAATGATCTGGATGTCAATGTACAAGCATGATTAGTAGGTTTGCAGATGGTACAAAATTAGGATGTATCATTGATAGCAAGGAAGGTTACCAAAAATTGCAGAGGAATAGTGAAGTGGGCTGAGGATTGGCAAATGCAGTTCAATACAGATAAATGTGAGGTGTTGTACTTTAGAAAGTCTAACCAAGGTAGGACTTATACTGTAAGTAATAGGGTCCTGAGGAGTGTTGTGGAACAGAGGAACATAGGAGTACAAGTACATAGTTTGTTGAAAGCAGCATCGCAGGTAGACAGGGAGATAAAGAATGCATTTAGCATGCTGGCCTTTATTGGTCAAGGCATTAGTATAGAAGTTGGGACGTTATGTTACAGTTGTATAAGTCACTGGTGAGGCCACACTTGGAGTATTTTGCACAGCTTTGGTCACCCAGTTACAGGAAAGACATAGTTAAACTGGAAAGAGTGCAAAGAAGATTTACAAAGATGTTGCCAGGACTAGGAGGCCTGACTTATAGGGAGAGTTTGGCCAGGATAGGATTTTATTCCTTGGAACATAGGAGAATGAGGGGTGACCTTATTGAAATGTATAAAATCATGAGGGGCATATGTAGGATGAATGCATATCATCTTTTTCCCAGGGATGGGGAATTGAAAACTAGAGGGCGTAGGTTTAAGGTGAGAGGGGTAAGATTTATGAAGGATCTGAGGGGCAACTTCTTCATGCAGACAGTGGTGCATATATGGACTGGGCTGCTAAAGAATGTGTTTGAGGCAGGTATAATAGCAACAGTTAAAAAAACATTTGGAGAGGTACGTGGATGGGAAGGGTTTAGATGGATATGGACAAAATGCAGGCAATTGGAACTAGTTATGTGGTCACCGTAGTCAGCGTAGACCAGTTAGGGCCAAAAGGCCTGTTTCCATGCTGTATTACTCTATGACTCCATGACTCTATATTCACACACTGATCATGAAACCTATCACAAAATCCCCCTGTCCTCACAGAAACTATTGCAGCCAATTGTTCAGATTCTCTGATGTCCAAAGCTGGTGTTCAGTAGATCTTCAATCAGTTTTCCTAATATCTACCACTGAGATCTTGAATTACATTTATTGATGACTGTCACTGCTAACCACGATGTGAGCTTTACACTTAGGACAGTACTTTACCTGATGTGGCAATAGTTATGTTTTCCCTCATAAGAAACTAGCTATAGACATAGCATGGTGTTGAAGAATCCAAAAGATATTTTTTACCTCAGCCAGCTAAGGAGCTCAACAATATGTACAAATATTGTATTCAATGGCACATCAATATCTGGGCTCATGTGAAGCTTCTTATAATGTGTCATGCTTCAAATGATCCAAATTCCGATGATACCAGCAATCTCTAAACCCTCAAGTCACACACAATGAACAGTAATGATATAATTAGTGTGTCTCTTAAAGATATACTGACATATCCTGTCCATTAAGGGTATACTGACATACCAACAGTGATCTATAACACAACAGAAAAAAACTAACTTCAAAGTACAGTTTACAACTTCTATATTGTGTGTCATTGGTAAAATAAATGCATTTCATGTAAAACAATTGCTTGAATAGATTGCTTAATTTAAATTGGATGAGATGCATGTCCTCTTTTGTGGCACATTCCTCATTGACACAGTACACATCACCAAGAGATGAAAGCTTTTATTTAATGACACTGAACAAGTGAGATTCAATTGGTATTTATTATGAGCTCAGACAGCACAAACAACATTTTACAACAGGATTCTTCAACTTTTTTCAATATGTGCATATGAAAATTCTCCTAGTGGGCTTAATGTACAGTGTATTGGCCTGGAAGATCTGACATCCTTCAGGGCAGCAGTTCATAAAATGCTCCTTGTCAGCATTACAGGGAATATTGGGGCAGTGGCTGAAAACAAAGAAACGTAGGCAACTCTCTTCTCTTTGCTGGTTAAGATATAGAAGCCACCCTGAGGTAGGTGTAGGGTCCCAACATAGATTCTGGGATAACAAGATGTGGAGCTGGAGGAACACAGCAGGCCAGGCAGCATCAGAGGAGCAGGAAAGCTGACGTTTTGGGTCGGGACCCTCATTCAGGAATGGTTCTGAGACACAATTTTAAAGGTTTTGAGTGACACAAACCTCAAAATGTAGTTAACAGTGATGATGATGAAAGCAGATTGGTGAAGCTGACAGATTAAAATTAAGGCACAGCACTGTGAAGCAATGCATTTTAGAAGATTAATTAGGAAGAGCAACATAGACAAAGTGGTAAAATTGTGTGCACAAACGAAGGGAGCTAGAAACTTACAAATTGATGTAAATGTCAAGACAAATTGATAAAGCTGTTCAACTAAAACAAAAACTCCAAGCTCAAGCTACTGCAGCTGATGGTACTTCTGGCAAATGTAATTCTGTGAGAGACAAGTAGCTTCCTGAAGTTCCCAACTGAAACAGAATGACACTTAATAGGACACAGCTTGAGTATTACTGAAATGAGAAACATGCTGCTGAACTTTTCATCTTGCACTCAATCGGACAAATACAAGAAGACAAATTTTCAAATGGTGCTGATTTTCAAGATCATCAGGGAGAACACAAAGGGCTAGTATAGGCTCCCCCATGCTCCTGCATAATTCATGAAAGGTACAACGTTTAAGCATATTCAATTTATTAATAAACATCCACACTTCCGACCTCATGATGGATGGATGATCATTGTTGAAGCAACTCAAGATGTTTGGGCCCAGGCCACTACCTTGGGACGTTCTGAAGTGATGTCCTGAGGCTGCGTTCATTGTCAACCATTGTCCTCATCCTTAATGCTAGGTATGATTTCAATCACTGGAGAGTTTTCTCCTTTCTCCCATTGCCCTCAATTTTGTTACTGCTTCTTAATACCTCACTTGGTTGAATCTTGTCTTTATTTCAAGGTTGGCACATGGATCTTACCATGGAACATGGCTCTTTTGTCATGTTTGGACCAAGACACTGATGAGGTCTGGAACTAGATGCGCTTGATATAATCTAAACTGAGCATTATCGAGCAAGTTGTTTGTGAGTGGGTGTTTCTTGACAGTACCATTAATAACACCTTATATTGCTTTGCTAATGATTGAGAGTAAACTGGTGAGACAGTAAATGACCAGATTGGATTTATTTTTCTTTATATAGACAGGACATAGCTGGGCTATTCTTCACATTGTTGGCACACTTTTAATAACAATTAACTTTCCGAGACTGCTTCTGCCACAGATTGAGGGTGAGCAGTCTGAGCCAGTGGTTTTAATAGTGGGTCAACTTGTTGGGTAGTTGGGAAGTTCTTTTTATCAACTCTTAAAAAGATTGTCTTGGATAATCAAACAGGAGAGTCTTCCACTTGCAATGCCTCTTCAGCCTCCAGTGGCTGAGCTTATCTACCCATAGCTGGCATGACCACGCTGACAGAAAAAAATGCCAGGCCTTGGTCTCCACAGGCTGTTTGCCTCCCTGGCCTCAAATGGCTTCTCAGAGACCACTGAGTATGCTATTACCTTTGATCCCATCAAGTCATTGCTGAGAAGCAGGTCAGTCCCATCCACAGCCACATTGGGGATGACTCCTGCAGTCACTGGCCTTGACACAAGGTCACACACCATATGCACCCAGTATAGCGGGATGGGAATGCACCCTCTGTCAATCCCTTCTACCAGCACCTTGGCATTAACTGTACTCTCCTGTAGGAAGGTCATGCCTTTTTCCCAGCAGTAGAGTTTGGCTGGCCTCAGCGTCCCTCAGTATCTCTGCAGGCTGTTTGCCTCTCCCTGTGAAAATGTGACCATTCCTGCATAAGATACAAAGTCCCAATAAATCTCAGGAATTTGTTTAACCTAATTCACACTCTCAGGAATGTCTTCACAGGGATTTACAGTTGAAGTCCGAGTCATAGCCTGGCCTGATATGCTGTCTGACTGAATCCCATTCTCTGTGCATTGCACGTGCACTCTGATAAATCCCACTAGATTTTCCCATAGCATTCAATAGTTGATACAACCATGCCCTGCCTTGCATCAAGTAAAACACATAAGCTTCTTACCCTCACCTTTCAACTCAGCACTATCATTTCTGTCCTCAGGAAGGCCCCCTGTATTTCCATTTTCCCAATATGGGCTCAATTTTCTATCACTTTTCCCACCTTTACACCATAAGTTGTAGCCGCAGAAGAAGGCCACGCAGCCTATTGAGTATGCTCTGCTGTTCAATGAGATCATGGCTGATCTGATAGTTCTCAACTCTATTTTCCTGCCTTTTCCCCACAACCATTGATTCCCCTACTGATTCAAAACCTATCTCAGACTTGAATATACTTAATGAACCAAGCTCTGCAGCTCTCTGCTGGAAAGAATTTCATAGGTTCACTACTGTCAGAGAGTAAAAATTCCTCCTCATCTTTGTCTTACATGTGCAACCCATTATTCTGAGATTATGTCCTTTGGTCCAGGATTCTCCCATAAGAGGAAACATCCTTTTTGTATCTACCCTGTCAAGTCTCCTAAGGTAGTTTCAATCTCTGCCTCCTCAAAGCTAGGAATTAAATGACTAACTGAGTTGCCTCACCCTCAAGTCTCGGCCAATAGTGACTTCATGAAATGCAGTAGGATTCCTGTTTTTTTAAATTTCAACTGTCTTAATTCATACTCTTTTCTTGCAAGTTTTTCTATAAACTCTCTTCTCTCCTTGCTCTTTGCTGTCTTGCCCTATCTCTCTTTCCTGTTGCTTTTCCTTTTCTTAAAACTCTAATTCACACTGCTCCAATTTTACCCTTTCTACTGCTAATCATCATCCATCTCTTCATCTTCAGTTTCCATCTGTAAATTATTGGCTACTCCTTCTAAAATTTTGGAGTTTCTGACTTAGGGTAAAATTCTAACCCTGAGTGTCTCACTGAATCTTTTAACTGCTTAAGGGACAGAACATTTAAATCTTCAAAACTAACTTACCCTAATTCTGCTAGGAATACACTGTCATTGTATGCAGACATTTCAATAGTGTAGAACTGCAAACACAAGAAAGCCTTTTGCAGTTTTTTTTTAAACAATTGGTTTCAAAGTGGCAATTTACCACTCTAATTCTTACGTTTCACCTGTGGGTTCAAATTGCAGTAAGAGCCCCCAGTTTGTTATGACAGGATCCTGGCTGAGGTTCCCCAACTTGTTATAGTTCCAGATGAATATCCCAAACTGTTAAGCTCCTGAGTGAAGAAGGATGGACCATCCCCTTTCTTACTCAACCATCCTTTTGGTTGGCTGCAACCATGTTCATTTCAAAAAGGAGTCCTCTCCCCGGTCTCCCAGACTCAAATTAACTTACGCTTTGAAAGGAGCCAATTTAGCCAGTTCTTTTTTTCTTGAATTAACCAAAGGAATGAGTCTTCTTGGCTTCTTTTAAAATATTTTGGGTGTGAGAGAAAGAAACCCACAAAGGAAGAGATCCATTTTTAACTTAACCTTGTTGTAACCAACCTACGGGATGGGTGTAAAGCTGAGCCAGTTCATCCCACCTCACCTGGGAGCACAACTGTTTGGAGGGATTCCCTGGAACTGTAACAAATTGAGGAACTTCAACCGGGAGTCTATCGTGACAATGTGCATATTTCCCTTACTTCATATCACTGTTTCTGAAACCTTTTTGGTTTTTCAGTATGTCTTTTTTTTCTCCCACAAGTTGCAGCAGCATTGTTCCAGCTGTTAAGACCGGTATAAACAATGTAGAAGCAAACTTACATTTCTGCCCTGAAAAATCTCATCAGATTTTTTAAAAATCTTTATAGTGGTGATTGGTTTTGGTAATCCACATTTTAATTAATTCGGACTATAATACCCCAACAAAATGTTTTTTTTTTGTGCATTTTTAACGGAATGTACTCCGAGAGGAGAGATAATAGTGAAACCATCTGAAAACCCAGGCGGAGACAAGAAGAGTCCTTCCAAATGACTTGCTACTATTTTTTCGTTAACAGAAGGAGGGGTTATTTGTATAAACGTTCTTTTGTTTCAAACTTACTGAGCATTTTGGTAACTTGGCTCCTCCTGACCTTCTCTTGCTCCATGCGCGGGGTTTGGTAGTTGGCATTTCCCAATCCTGGTTTGAAGTCAGAAATTACTTCCTCTCGCTTCAGTTGCAATCCAATCAGTAAGTACAGCATACTAATAATGATCATCGGGACGAAGAAAAACAGCACCGTGGTGATCTGAATGATGAGACTGTACATCCAGGCTGGCTTTAACAGCACGCAGATAGCGGACTCTTCAATGTGTTCCCCAAACGGGGTACTCAGATAATAGATGCCGTGGAGGTTGGTGTTGGGGATGGCTGAGCAGAAAGAAATCAGCCACACCGTTAAGATTACCCGTTTGGCGTGAGTTCTGGTCACAACATACTTTGCTTTAAGGGGGTGCACGACGGCGATGTATCTCTCAACACTGAGGGCCGTCACGTTTAGTATTGAGGCAAAGCAAACCGTCTCAAAAAGGAAGGTTTTAAAGTGACATCCCGCTTGACCGAGGAGAAACGGGTAATTCCTCCACATTTCATAGAGTTCCAACGGCATGCCCAGAATCAGCACCAAGAGATCGGAAATGGCCAGGCTGAATAAGTAATAATTCGTAGGGGTTCTCATCACTTTGTGCTTCGCTATAACGATGCAGGTTAGTGCATTTCCAAAAGCGCCGACCACAAAGATGCAGAGATAAATCAAACAGACTGGCACAAAAAAGGACGATCTCCTGGGACCCAGATACTTCAACAGCAGCTCCTCTTTGCTCATGAAAAAGTCCTCCGGGATGGTGTTATTCCAGCTGAGGTTCTGCTTTCCGAAGGTTGTGTTGCAGAAGTACTGATAGATGGTTTGGAGAAATGCGCTCCGATTCTTCAACGAATCCATTTGAGAACAGTTTTTGGGGAATTGCTGCTGACTGGGTGAAATTTGCATTATTCTTTTCCCTCCCGTCCAAGACTAAATGAAAGTCCGTGAATATTCGAAAGCACGGTGAAATCAAGCTGTCATCATTTTTAAACCCGTCAACTTTGTCGCTTATTTCAAACTTATAGGTCGGTATCATAAAACTGGGAATCCTTTATATCAGTCTTATTACCGAACAGATGCTTTGCCCTGAGTTGGGTAAAACTGTTACCTTTTAAATGTGCTGTAAAGACTCACCATTGATAAGAAAGGATTCACGATTAGAAAGCCTGAATATTTCCGTGCTTCTCAAAGCAGCAAAGTTCCTTTCCCCCCGCTTCCACATGAACGGAGTCCGTGCAGTGATGTTAATATTCCTAGTCCTGGTTATCAGTTGGATTTGGCTCCAGTAATCAGCCACACTGATTTTTCTTTATAATTGAGTTTGGACGTCAGTCTTCAGTCCTTGAGAGCTGATCTTCAGGCAGACAGTTCCATCCAATCCACCCTTTGGCACTCAGTGTCTAAGCTGCTCCCAAGCGGAGTGGGCAGGGAGAGGGAGATAACGCCGCGATGAGCCACTGCGCCAGGTACTTCCAAAGCCTTGAGGCACTGCCGCCGTTATAAAGACATCACTTCTGACGTCTGCAAGCAATAATAAAACAACCCCGTCTGCCGGATGATATTCCCTGAGGATTAATCGGCACTTGTTTGAATTGATTTCTGCAATGTAGAGCTTTATGAAAAGAGTAAGTTTCCATTTTAAACAAAAACTGACCTTTCAGTGGATCCGAACAGACACTCACTCACAAAGACAACGCAATATTAGTTTTAATGCATTTTAATATGTTAATTGACCATCTTAGTGCTTGTTCTAGAGAAGGGTCTCTGGACCGAAAATGTTAACTCAGATTTCTCTCCACAGATGCTGCCAGACCTGCTGAGCTTTTTTTTTCAGCAATTTCTGTCCTTCTGATTTCCAGCATCCGCAGTTCTTTGTTTTAAGTGCTTGTCTTGTGAGGTCTGCCAGGCACTGGAGTGGGAAATGTTAGGATCCAGAACCTTTTGTATCATTAGCTTAAATATAATTTTATAAACATTTCTACGAGAATCTTTAAAGAAGGACAATATGATTTTTTAGCTTCCACTCTGTATATGAAATATTTAACCTTCGTGTATTTAAAGGAGCGGGCAGTTCAGAGTTCCATACAGGAATGGAAACATGGAAGAAACTTGACTTCAGTTTGATCATTTCAAATACTGTTCACAGTTGGTGCTTTTTCTTTGTATAAAATATACAAATCGAAATTGCTGGTTTTTACAATATGATTGTTGCTGTTTCAAATCGCTGTTTTGAATATTGTAATACTGATACTAGTTAAATGCAGTTTTCTTATGGACAGATTGCAAGTTTTAAAATAAATCTTCCCTCTTCTCACAATTGATAAGAAAATATAGTTATTGCATTTTTCCTTTTTATTGTTTTTTCCCCAGTATTAGTGAACTCAGACTTTGTAGTAGTGTTGTGGTAAAAGAGTGCACAAATAACCTCCCAGAAATGTTACAGAAACAGGGGTCTAGTGAAAGGGAGGAATTGGAGGAAATCAGCATTAGTAACAAACTGTTTTTCAGGAAATTGATGGGGTTTAAAGGCTAACAAATTATTAGCACCTGATAATGTACATCCCAGAGTACTAAAGCAAGTGGCCCTAGAAATATTGGATGCATTGGTTGTCATCTTCCAAAATTCAAAGATTCTGGAGCAGCAGAGTGGAGGGCGATAAATGCCATCCCCACTGTTCAAAATGGGAGGGAGAGAAAAACACAGAATTACAGATCAATTTACCTAACATCAAGAGTATGGAGAATGTTATAGTCTATTATGAAGTATATGATAACAAAATAATTGTAAAGCCTGAACTGTATTTGAGAAAAGGTTTATGAAGGGTAAATTATGCTTAACAAATCTACTGGATTTTTTTTGAGAAAGTAGCACGAAGAATAGACAAAGGAGAACCAGTGGATGTGGCGTACTTGGATTTTTGGAAGGCTTTTGATGATCTCCCAAATAAAACGTTTGCGGACAAAACTAAAATATGTGGAACTGGGAATAATATATTGAGATGGATTGACAATTGATTGACAGTCACAAAACAGAGAGTGGGAATAAATGTGTCTCTTTCCAAGTGGCAGACAGTGACAAGCAAGCTACTGCAAGGATCAATGCTTGGGCCCCAGTTATCATGATATATCGGGAACATTTCCAAATTTTCTGAAGATATAAAACTAGGCAGGATTGTGAATGGTGAGTGGATACAAGGATGCTTCAAGACAATTTAGACAAATTGAGCAAGTGGGCCAATGCATGGAAGTTGCAGTATAATGTGGATAAATGAGAAGGTGAACACTTCAGTGTGAAAAACAGAAAGGCAGATTATTATTTAAGTGGTGATATATTGAGAAAAGGGATCCATGTGTCCTTGTATACTAGTTAATGAAAGTAAACAGGCAGATGCAGCAAACAATTAGGAAGGCAAATGATATGCCTTCATTGCAAGAGAATTTGAGTTCCGATGTAGAGATGTCTTATTGCTGTTATAGGGGCCTTGGTGAGACCACATCTGGAGTATTGCATGCAGTTTCGGTCACCCTGTCTAAGAAAGGATATAGTTGCCATAGAAAGAGTTCAGTGGAGGCTCGCTTGGCTGGTACTGGGGATTACAGGACTGTTCTTTGAGGAGAACTTTGTTTGATTGGGCCTGTATTCATTACAGCCTAGAAGGATGAGAGGGGATCTGACTGAAATGTGTAAAATTCTAACAGGGCTGGAAAGACTAGATGCAGGGAAGGTGAGGTGTTTACAACCAGGGGTCACAGTCTCAGTAAACAGATTGCGGTCCTAAAAGGCCTATGCGGAAATATTTCTTCACTGAAAGACTAGTGAAACAGTAGCATTCTATACTACAGAAGGCTGTGGAAACCAAGTCACTGAACATTTTCAAGAAAGAGATAAGTACGTTTTTTAGATTTAAAAAGCACTGAGAGATATGGGGATAAAGCAGAAATTTGGCTTTGAAATAAAGGATAAGACATGATCATATTGTCAGAATTCACATGACACCAGGTTATAGTCCACCAGGTTTATTTGAAAACACAAGCTTGTGTTTTCAAATAAACCTGTTGAACTATAACCTGGTGTCGTGTGATCTCTGACTTTGTCCACCCCAGTCCAGCACCTCCACATCATGAACATATTGAACAGCAAACCAGGCATGAAGAGCCAAATGGCCAACTGTTGCTCCCAGTTTCTATGTTTTTATGGTTACTACATAGAGTTAAAACAGTGCATTGAGTATAGGAGGTGGGAGGTCATGCTGCGGCTGTACAGGACATTGGTTCGACCACCTTTGGAATACCATGTGCAATTCTGGTCTCCCTGTTATAAGAAAGGATCTTTTAGAGGGACCTTTTGGGCCTTTCCTGTTAACTCACACTGAATTACAAAAGTTCATGACCACTGTAACTGTAAAGCACTGCCTCTTTAAAAGTCCTGTAAAAAGAGTCCACATCTCCTACGTCATGTTAAGGAATGAATCAAGAATAATTAAGGACTTCAAAGCTTGTTTCTGGGGAAGGCACATTTGGTCTGTGTCTGAGTGGAGAGGATTTTCCCTAATTCCGTCTGTCTGCTTAAGTTCTCTCTGAGCCCTAATTCCATTTCAGAGCTGGAAACCACTTTCCTTCTTGCTTTCTCTCTTTATCTCTCCCAAACCTCCAGCTGCAACTTGAGTTTTGCCAACTCTGTACCGGTCACAGGGGATAGGGCTACTTCAAGAATCAATTTTTCATCCAGCTGCTCTGGAATGGGACTGTGTCCTTGTGCCCAGCTAGCAGCTTAAGGATCTCCTTTTGGTTTAGGTTGCTGTGCAATTTCACTTCTAATCATCTAGCTACAGTCTTCAACTGGCCTATGCTTAGTATAGCTAACATTTCAGCAGTTATCTTGTTCTGTGAATGCTTTTGAATCAAAATATGCCTTTCATTAATCTTAGAGTAATAAAGATTTGTTGCAGTCAATTTGTTTTACAAACCATTTTGTCTCTAAATTTAAATGCTTACGCTACCAATCAGTTTATTTTAGTCTGTTTCATATACAGGTATTCAGACTTTAGTCAGATTTTGTATCCTTTGGCTAAATTTTTAGCATATTTTGTTTCATCCAATCTGGATGGAAGGCCAAATTTCTGTATGGACGAATGGCGAATTTTTTAAACAAATGTATACTTACCAATACTTGCCATCGTAATTTAATTTTCTCCTTATTTTAAACAGCAGGATATATTTCCCCCACTCCCTCTGTTTGTGGACTTTGACTTTAAAAGGACCAGAATAACACTATGATAAAGTTAAACCAGAAGTAAAGTTTATTTTATGCACTATCAGATGCAGGTGAATAATTTGTGACACATGATGGGAGAAAAACAAGAAACAGGCTGCAGATTGCTTTTATAATCAGGACCAGTTATGAGAGTCAGGAAAGCTCAGCATAGCAAAAACTGCCTGGCTCCTGAACAGATGAACAGCCAATGTGTCAACAATACAGAGACAGAAAGCCTTCTGACTCTAAGATGATAACATCCTATCTCTCCTTGAAGAGAAGTAACAAAAAAATTGGAAGATAGCGGACTATCCTCAGTCACTATTTCCCCATAAGCTGCTGCCTCTAATCAGTGACAGAAAGACTGAACAATTAATGTGCCAACTGCCCTATGGCTTCAGTAAAGAAATGAAGGAACTTGGAAAAAGCGGATCAGAGACTAGAAGGATTTGGAAGAAGCAAAAGGACACTTTGTTCAATTCTGTGGACATGTGCTATTAAACTGTGTTCCTTTGTCCTCCCTCCAGCATCCGTAACATTTTATTTTTGCTTATCTATTTCTGACTACGTATTGTCTGAAAGTTTAAGGAGGGGTATAGTTTAAGTTTGGGAGTTCTAGGTTATAAGTCATACTTTGTTTGCCTGTGGTTAA